TAGACAGGGGATTCTAGAAGGCAGTGGAATCTTCTGAAGTGATCTTTAAAAAAAGGTTAGGATTTGGACAATCAGATAGCGTAGAGAAAACTGTTTTTTTTTAAAGATTTATTTATTTATTTGAAAATCAGAGTTACACAGAGAAGGAGAGGCAGAGAGAGACAGAGACAGAGACAGAGACAGAGAGACAGAGAGGTCTTCCATCTGCTGGTTCACTTCCCAGTTGGCTGTAATGGCCGGAGCCGCGCCGATGCAAAGCCAGGAGCCAGGAGCTTCTTCCAGGTCTCCCACGTGGGTGCAGGGACCCAAGTAGTTGGGCCATCTTCTACTGCTTCCCAGGCCATAGCAGAGAGCTAAATCAGAAGTGGAGCAACCAGGACTCAAACCGGTGCCCATATGGGATGCCAGCACTTCAGGTGGCGGCTTTTCCCGCTAGGGCACAGTGCCGGCCTCCTTATGGTTGTTTTGAGAGTCAAAGTAATGCTTATATAAAATACTCTTTAAAGTCCAATACAAAAACAAGACATGGAAAATAATTAAACAGTTCAGAACTTTGACAATACAAGGAATGTGAAAGAACAAGGACAAGGGCTGCAGGGAATGGCAAATGGGAGCATCTGTTCATAATTTTAAACTGAAATACTTGCCCAGTGTTGAAAGAGGTTGTAAGCATTAGAGCCTGAGGTTAAGGATAAACCTTTGCTTAGTGCCTTGACTTAAACCAACCCATATTTCTTTTATCCTATAGAGTAGACCACAAACTCCAAGCTTTAGAAGCGCAGTTCAAAGATCTGGACTTTACCATGGATAACCTGACACAGAAATTTGAACATCACAGTAAAACTTTGGCAAGCCAAGCCGCCCAGGAGGAGATGTGGACAGCAGCTTGGACACTCAAGTGAGTATTAAATGAGACATCAGTGCAATTTTGTGGCTTTGGGAGGGGGCATCCAACAATTAAATTTAATATGGTTCCAACATTGGATTGTGAAGAAATTACATTTGGGGGGCTCATTCATTCAAGTTAGATGAAGTTGAGCACCTGTTTACAGACATTGTGGTACGTATCTCCACACAGAGGCTCTGACTTGCCAACATCTGTCTAACACAGGGGTGCATAAGGTAACTCCCTGGCCATCGAGGAACTTACAGTATGTGCGGCCTGAGAGTCCAGCTGTCCAGCATAGGGCAGGGTCCATCCTCAAGTGCTTGCTAAGATACAACAGCTAGCTCGTCTAGTGGTTTGTACTGAGTTCTTCTAGCAGAATTCATTTTATGCGTCTATGTAAACTATTGCTTAAGGAGCTCTCCGCATTTTTTGTAGGTTCACTTCAATGGAATTCAATATTTTATACAGCTATGTCATTGAAGTACTGATCTATTTGCACACTCGTGTGCTTGAGAAGCTGCCAGATCTGGGGAGGGGTCTTCCCACTTTAGCCTCTGTCCTTAGACGAAAAGTCAAGAGCAAGCGTGTTAGAGCTGTGTGGGAGTCTGTCCTGGAGGAGTACGGGCTACAAGAAGGGGATGTCGCAGCACTCTGCACCTTCTTTATTGCACACGGAAACAAGGCAGAGCACTATGCTGCCAAAGCGAGGCAGATGTACATCAAAGACGTCTCCTTCTTGATCACCAACATGGTGAAGAACCCGGCTCTGCGGGATGGTTTGTTGAGGGCTGTGCAGGTAATTGAAAAGGGGAAAGCAGTGAGGATCCCTGAAGAGCAAAAGTCATCCCTGAAAGAGTTAATACCATCACTCAGAAACTAACCTGGAACCAGTAGAGAGAATCTCTCTCTCTGCCTCTCAAGTCAATAAAAACACAACAAAAAATTAACCTGCTACCTTAGAACCCCTTCTAGTAATTTATCCTGCAAAAAGGAAAAAAATGCACCATTTATTTATTTAAGGCTTATTTTCAAAGCCAAAATTAAGAGGAGTATTAAAAATATTATGACAAATGGATATAATGAATACTTTCTGTATGGCTATATAAAAGAATAAAAAAGCTTTCTGTATAATGATTTGGACTTATCACCAAAATTTATTGTTGTTCTTGACTGCTTCTAATAGATATTGTTAGGCAGAAGTAAACATTTAAGGTAAACACTTATGGCAAACATGTATACAGAATGCATATTAGCTTACGTGTCCATCAACAACTTCTGCAGAGAAGAAAGTGATAGTATTTGTTGTACTAGAAAAGAAAACTGAGACTGGGGGGGACAAGGAAAAGACTAGGAAGTCTTTTCATTGTTACTCCATTTGAGACATTTTGAGCTTTGAACCATGTGAATATATGACCTGCTAAAAGACAAATAAATAATAAAAAAACCTAACATGTATCAGATGCTACAAATTGTATGTTGATTGTACATTTTCTCTCCAATGTAGTAACGTAGCTATTTATACTTGAAAGGCAATTCTTACATATTGACCACTTATTTATCATATTTGTTGAACACCTGACACCATGGGCTACATGCTGAAACAGAAACATTAAAAAATGTGGGAGTGGGCCGGCGCTGCGGCTCAATAGGCTAATCCTCCACCTAGCGGCACCGGCACACCGGGTTCTAGTCCTGGCCGGGGCACCGGTTCTGTCCCGGTTGCCCCTCTTCCAGGCCAGCTCTCTGCTGTGGCCCGGGAGTGCAGTGAAGGATGGCCCATGTGCTTGGGCCCTGCACCCGCATGGGAGACCAGGAGAAGCACCTGGCTCCTGCCTTCGGATCAGCGCGGTGCGCCAGCCGCAGCGCGCCAGCCGTGGCGGCCATTGGAGGGTGAACCAACGTCAAAAGGAAGACCTTTCTCTCTGTCTCTCTCTCTCTCAGTGTCCACTCTGCCTGTAAATAAATAAATAAATAAATAAATAAACGTGGGAGTGGTTGTTCGGCTTGCTGGTTAAGCCACTGCTTAGGATGCCTGCTTCCCATATCAGAGTGTCTGGGTTCAAGTCCCTGTTCCACTCTCCATTCCAGCTTCCTGCTAAGACATACCCTGGGAAGCAACAAGTGATGACTCAAGTGGTTGGGTACCTGCCACCCGTAGGGATATACAGATTGAATTCTGGGCTCCCAGCTTTGACCTGGCCCAGGTCTGGCTGTCTGAGGAGTGAACCAGCTCATGAGAGATCGAGATCTCTGTGTCTCCTTGTTTCTGTCTCTCAGCCTTTCAAACAAATACAATAATAAATAAATAAAATTTTAAAAAACATAGACCCCCATCATCAAGGCAAGGAATCAGTATTGATGCTTTATTTGGGAGTACAAATTCAGATGGTCAGAGCCAGGTAAGACGAGGGAAGGAATCTGGGTAGAGAGGGATGTGAAGTAACACCAGGCGATGCCAGTCCCTCCTTGAAGACGGCAGGTGACACAGCAAGTTGTTAGCAGGCACATCCGCTCAGTCCTGCCCTTCTCCACATACACTGTATGGAGAAGTCGTGCCTTGGAAGAAAGAAGGAAGATGAATTGCTCTGTTGTACTCACTCAGTCTACTTTTTTTTCAATCTGCCAAGGTGGTTCTGGACAGGGGGCAGGGTTGGGGTAGGGAGAAATCTGCCCCCAGATACTTCCAGCATGTGTCATCCAGGCCTCCTATCAGCTACCTGGAAACCAGCACTTGCATACTTGCATTGTTCAGAAGGGACTGGGTAAGGGGTTGGGGAGGGTAGAGGGGTAGGGAGGCAGAGACCCTAGGAATGCACCTGGTCAGTTCCGCACAGAGCAAGTGATTGACAGTTCAGAAAGCAAGCAAAGCCAAGGAAATCTGAGGAAGCATGTAAAAATATATCCCTCACACAAGTCAGAAACTCCTAAAGATAAAGCAAAATGCAGGCACTAAGTAAGTTACGATCAAAACCATTATCACTAGGAACTGTACATGATTGGATGAATTTAAAAGAAGGGAATCCCTGTGTGATGGGGGAGGTCATAGTTGCATGCTTTTAGAGTAATGGAAATGTCCATGGGAAAAGCAGGTTGTGGACACATTAGGAAGTGGAATTTCAGGCTAAGAGACTGTAGATAGCTGGGTGATAACCTCAAGTTCCTGAACCCAATTAAAACAAAAGTGCTGGGGCTGGTGGGTGATGCTCTACCTGCCACACTGTGAACCAGCATCTCATACATGGGGACCAGTTCCATTCCTGGCTGCTCCACTTCTGCCAGCCCTCTGCTAATGTGCTGGGGAAAGCAGCGGAAGTGCACCCATGGGGGAGACCCGAATAAAGCTCCTGGTTCCTGGCTCAGCGTCTGCCTGGCCCAGTCCTGGCTGTTGGGGCCATTTGGGGAGTGTCTCCTTTCTCTAGGTAACTCTGCCTTTCAAATAAGTAAGTAAATCTTTATTTTTTTTTAAAGAGTTTTATTTATTTCAGAGGTAGTTACAGTGAGAGGGCGACAGAAAGGTCTTCTGTCCGCTGGTTCACTCCCCAAATGCCTGCAACGGCAGGAGCTGCACCGATGCGAAGCCAGGAACCAGAAGCTTCTTCCTGGTCTCCCACGCGGGTGCAGGGGCCCAAGGACTTGGGCCATCTTCCACTGCTTTCCCAGACCATAGCAGAGAGCTGGATGGAAGCGGAGCATCCGGGACTTGAACTGCGTCCATATGGGATGCCGGCGCCACAAAGCGGAGGCTTAACTTAACTATGCCAGGGGACCAGCCCCGAAATTTTGTTTCTTGACAATAACTTTGGCAAGCGACCCTTAGATCACTCATTAATAGAAACAAAAAGGTACTCTTGTACTGCGGGCAGAATTATAAAAATTAATGTTCGAGTCTTTAATTCGTTCTGAGGCTTCACGTTTCTGTCCACACGCCAGTCTTGAGGCACTCAAGGATATCTGCAGCCTCTGGGGGCAGAAAGCCAAGGAAAGATCTGGATCTCCCGCAGCAGAACCTCGGGAACGGGGACGGCGGGAATGGGTGGGGCCTTCTCCTGGGAAGGCGGGGCAGGCCGGGATTGGGCGGCGCCAGCGCGCGCGCGCGCGGCGGCCTCGGAAGTCCCGCCTCGCCGAATGTTCGCTGTTGTGTTTCTGGACGGTTCGGCGGATCGGAAGTGCCATTTTGGCGGCAGTTGTGACGTCACTGGTCTGTGTACGGTTGCTACGGGACCCCGCCACGAGTAGCCCGAAGAGAGGGGCGGAGCGCGGAATCCTAGGAATCTGCGCGGGACACCCAAAGGCTCGAACTGGGGGCTCGCGGCGGCCCTCACGGCCCCGGGAAGACGGGGGCCCTGCGCGGAGCTCGACGTCCGGCGGAAGCAGTGCTCTTCCCGGATCCCGCAGCGGCCCCGGCACTGGGGGCCCCGGAGCCAAGAGGCGCATCCCGCCGAGGTAAAGCGGAAGCAGAGGACGCGGGCCCACTCCACGCCGCGCCGGGCGCCCGCACGCCCGACGCCGCGCGCCGCCGCGGCCGCGCTGTTCAACTGCCGCGTCAGACGGAAATGTTCGTGTGTTCTCTTGGGGCATGTTCGTCTTCCCGGGTATTGCTCTTTACCCGCGCCTCGGAGCGCCTGCTTGCTCCCAGACGTGTTGGATGCTCCCCGTCTCTGAATTTTTGGCACGCTGCTGAGCTTCGTATGTAAACGCGAAACTTAAATTGGTGCCCGGTGGTTGACCGAAAATACGATCCTTTTTTTTTTTTTTCTGGCAGGTGTTCATGTTGACTAGGCCTTGTTAGCAATACTAAAATGGCTGTGCCCCAAGACAACATCCCTTCCCTGTCGGAGTGCCGGTGCGGGATCTGCGTGGACATCCTGATCGAGCCCGTGACCCTCCCTTGCAACCACACGCTCTGTAATCCATGCTTCCAGTCCACTGTCGAAAAGGCGAATTTATGCTGTCCCTTCTGTCGCCGCCGGGTCTCCTCGTGGGCTCGCTACCATACCCGAAGAAAGACTCTTGTCAATATGAAACTGTGGGAGATGATTCAGAAACACTACCCGAGGGAATGCAAGCTCAGAGCTTCGGGGCAAGAATCGGGGGATCTCGGTGAGTGAAGCCCAGCGTGTTGAAGACGCAGGAGTGTGTGTTCAAGTTACTCTTGGAGGCTTTGCGTTTCATGGGTTCCAGAATGTCACAGTCATGGGCATGATTGTGGCTGTTGTTACAGTGCCCGAGCTTGTGCCTAAATATTGAGGGGAGCAGTGGTGGAAGTGCGCAGAGGGAACCGCTGATTCCTGTGTTAGTATTCTTATTACAGTCACGTTGTCTGTCTCTTGACTGCCTCGTCTGTACGTCCCCATCATTTCTTTTTCTATTCTTTTTAGCATGCAACGACCTAAAATAGCTCTGTGTTACCTGTTCCGTCCATTTCGGTCATTTTGAGTGTGAGCTTGGGAGCCCCACGCTGCACCCCTGACTCTGCTTGTCTCTGCTCCTGTGGGCAGTGAGCCATGTCGTGTTTCCTGTCTAAGCTTTGGATGTGCTGTTCTGCTCTGGTGTGCCTACCCTTTGATTGTTTTATTGTAGTTTAAACAGATAACAGAATTTGCTATTTTTAAACAATACTCACTTTCTTAAAAAACGGTTTTCCTGGCATATTTCACATACCGTTCACCCATTTAAAGTGTGTAATGTGATGGGGTTTTGGTATGCTGCATTATTAATTTATTTAAAAGTTGTAAAATATATGCAACAAATTTTGCCATTTTAAGTGTACAGTTCAATGGCATTAATTATATTCACAATGTATTATCTGGTTTTAAAATTTTCATTACTACAAGTAAACCCTTTCACCATTAATTAATGAGTCCTACCCCAAGATCTAAGTTACCCTTATTCTAGTTTCTGTCTCTGAATTTGCATATTCTAGATATTTCATATTAGTGCAATCATGCAATATCTTCTGTGTCTGGCTTATTTCACTTAGCATAGCATGTCTGAAGTGCATGCACACTGTAGCATTTATCAGTTACTTCATTTTTGATTAATATTTTTCTGATATATGCTACATTTTGTTTATCTGTTCATTCATTGGTGGACATTTGGAATTTTTCTACCTTTTAGATATTAGAATGCTACTGATACGAACATTTGGTACAAATATTCGTTTGAATATTTGTTTTCAGTTTTTTAGTGTCTACAGTCATACCTCTGCATCCAAGGGGTTCTACTTTTAGTATCTTGAGGATGCTAAAATTCGTGGATGCTTAAGTCTCTTGTATAAAGTGGCAGTGCATTTGCATATATAATCCATATACATGCTTCGACATACTTTAAATCATCTCTAGATTATATTTAATACCTAATATAATATAAACACTATACCAGTAGTTGTATTGCTCAGGGAATATTGATAAGAAAAAGTCTGTACATTATTTTTTCTTGAATGTTTTCAATGATTGATCCCATGGATGCAGAGCTTGAAGCTACAGAGGCTGCCTGTAAGCTAGGTGTGGCATTGCTGGATCGTACAGTAATTCTATAGTTAGCTTTTGGAGAAGTGCCAGCGTTTTTGACAGTGGCTATACTGTTGTACATTCCCACTGACTATGTGCAGGATGTCCAGTTTCTTTACATCCTCACCAGTACTTGTTATTTTCCATGTTGGTGTTGTTTTTTAATAGCCATCCTGGTAAATGTGAGGAGGTATCTTACTATGTGCTTTCTAAAATTATGATAAACATAACAGAATTTACCATTTTTAATTATATAGGTCAGTGGCATTACATACATTCACACTCGGTGCGTTCATTGGTACCATCCAGCTCCAGAGTTTTTAATCTTCCCAAACTGAAACCCCACTTTCAGTAAACATTAACTCCTCATTTCTGCTTTCCCCTAGCATCCATCATTCTACTTCCTGTCTTTATGACATAATTTCACTGTTCTCAGTTCTTTATCTAAGTGGAATTATGATACATATTTGTCCATTTATTTCTGGCTTATTTCACTTAGCATGTCTTCAGTGTTTATCCATGTGTAGTATATGACAAGATTGCCTTGCTTATCTATTTTTTTTATTTTAAAGGCATTGTGACAGAGATCTTACCTCTGCTGGTTCACTCCCCAACTAGCTGCAATGGCCAGGGCTGGGCAGACCAAAGGCAGGAGACAGGAACTCCATCTGGGTCTCCTACATGGCTGGCAGAGACCTCAGTATTTGGGCCATCACCAGGCTGCTTTTCCAGGTGTGTTAGTGGGGCCCTGGAACAGAAGTGGAGTAGCTGGGACTCAAAAGGGTGCTCCAGTATGGGATGCTGGGTTGATTAGGGATGCTGTTGTCCCAGATGGTGGCTTAACCTGCTGTGCCATAATGGCAACCCATTCCTTCTTTTTTAAGGCTGAATAACATTTCATTGTGTAGGCCCTTATTGTGGTGCAGCAGGTTAAGTCGCTGCCTTCATCCTGTGTTAAGTGTTGGTCCAAGTCCTGGCTGCTCCACTTCTGATCCAGCTTTCTGCTGATGTACCTAGGAACCCAGTGGATGATGGCTTGAGCACCTTGGTGGCAGACCTGGATAGAGTTCAGGCTCCTGGCTTTAGCCTGACCCAGCCCCTACCATCCGGCCATGTGCAGAGTGAACCAGCAGATGGGAGATCTGTCTCTCTCTAACTCTGCCTTTCAAGTAAATAAATCTTTTTAAAAAATATTCCATTGTATTACAAACCACATTTTTTTTTCTTTTACTGAATTTTAAAAATCTATTTTTGCATCAGGGGACACTTGAGTTGCTTCTGCCTCTTGGCTATTATGAATAACGCTGTTATGAACATGGTTGTACTAATATCTCACTGAAGCCCTACTTTTACTTCCTTTGGGTAAATGCCCAGAAGTCAAATTTCTAGACCATATGATAATTCTATGTTTAACTTCTCAAGGAAGTTCTGTGTTGTTTTCCACAGTGACTACACTATTTTACATTTCCATGAACAGTGCACCCTTGCTATTTTCTGGTTTCTATAGTAGTAGCCATTCTAATGGGTATGAGGCTCATTGTAGTTTGATTTGCATTTCTCTAGTGACTAATGATGTTGAACATCTTTACATGTCTTTATAGGCCTTTTGTTCGTCATCTTTTTTTAAATAAGAAGTTAAACTTTTTCATTTATTTGAAAGGCAGAGAAACAGAGAAGGAAATTTTCCACTTACTGTTAAACTCCCCAAATGCCTGCAACAACCAGGGCTGGGCAGGCTGAAGACAGGGGCCAGAAACTTCATCCAGATCTCCCATGGGGGTAGCAATGACCCCCCCCCCCCCCCCCCCCAGTACTGCAGCCAATAACTGCTGCCTCCTGTGCTGTGCATTAGTAGGAAGCTGGCATTGGAAGCAGAGCTGAGACTTGAACCCAGGCACTCCAGTGGGGTATGTGACTGTCCCAAGCAGCATCTTTCTATTTTTTATATTTACTTATTTGAAAGGCAGGGTGACAGAAACAGATGAATAAAGATTTTCTGTCCACTGATTTACTCCTCCTCTCCAAATGCCTGTAACAGCCAGGGCTGGGCTGGGCCAAAGCCAGGAGCCAGGAATTCCATCCAGGTATCCCATGTGGGTGTCAGGGGCCCAAGAACTTGGGCTGTCCTCTGCTGCCTTCCTAGATGCATTAGCAGAAAGCTAGATCAGAAGTAGAGGCAGACCTCAGTGCAGGCACACCACTATGGGATACAGGTATCCTAAGTGGTGGCTTAATCCACAGCACCACAATGCCGCCTCCCCCTTGAAATTTGTTTTTATTTGAAACAGTGAGAGAAAGAGAGGGGCAAGGGAAGAGAGATCACTCTTCCATCTGCTGGGTCACTCCCTGATTACCCACAGTAGCTAGAGCTAGCCAGGCCAAAGCTGGGAGCCAGGAACTCCATCCGGGTCTCCCACATGAATGACAGGAACCCAACCACTTGGACCATTGCCAGCTGCCTTTCGAGGCTCATTAGTAAGAAGTTGGATTGGAAGCAGAGGAGCCAGGAGGGTGTTGCAAGTAACAGCTTAACCCGCTGTGCCACAACACCTGCCCCCGCCTCTCTTTTTTTAAATTATGTTTTATTTATTTTCATTTTTATTTGGGAGGCAGAGAGAGATAGAAAGACAGACACAGACAGAGGCTTCCATTCACTGGTTAATGACCAAATGTCCACAACAGCTAGGGCTGGGCCAGGCCAAAGTTGCAAGATAGGAACTCAGTCTGGATCTCACACATGGATAGTAGGGACCCAAGAACCCTAGCCATCATTTGCTGCCTCCCAGGGTGCATATCAACAGGGAGTTAGAATCAGAACCCAAAATGGGACTTGATTTCAAATACTCCAATTTGGGAATGTGGACATCCAAACAGTATCTTAACTGCTGTGCCATATACGTATATAATACCCCATGTATATCATTTTTGGAAAAATATCTTTTCAAGTCCTTTGCCCATTTTATTCAGTTTATTTTGTTGTTGTTGATTTATAGGCATTATTTACGCATTCTGGATGTAAACCCTTATCAGATAATAATTAGCAAATATTTTCTCCCACTCTGTTGATTGCCTTTTCACTGTTGATCATGTCTTTTTTAACTTTATTTGTTTTGAGAGATGGGGGTTGGGTGAGAGGTGGGGTCAGTGAGAGACAGATACATACACAGAAAGAAGGGAAGAAAGGTCCCATGCACTGGTTCACTCCCCAAGTGCTCAATAGCTAGGGCTGGGCCTGCCTTAAGCCAGGAGCTGGGAACTCAATCCAGATCTCCCATGTTGGGGGGTAGGACTCTAATCCCTTGGGCCACCACCACTTCCTCCCAGGGTCTGCGTTAACAGGAAACTAGAGTGAGGAGTTAGAGTTGGGTGTTGAACCCAGATACGTTGATGTGGGACTCAGGTATCTTTTTTTTTTTTTTTTTTAAAGATTTATTTATTTATTTGAAAGAGTTACACAGAGAGAGGAGAGGTAGAGAGAGAGAGAGATTGATTGATCTTTCATCCAGGAGCCAGGAGCTTCTTCCAGGTCTCCCACGTGGGTGCAGGGACCCAAGGACTTGGGCCATCTTCCACTGCTCTCCCAGGCCATAG